CTTTAACCCCCCTACGGAAAATAAATAAATGAAGCAAGAGAAATAAATATAGATCCGAAAAATCGCTGTGATGATTGACTTGAGAGATCGAACCCGAGACCGTTCACTTGCCGGGCGACTGCTCTTCCAGCTGAGCTATCAGATCATTTCGAGGTCTATACTTTTCTATGTTATATATAAAATGTTATAAAAAAATATATTTTTTACACATAAAATGTTTTTTTATTGAAATAATCACGATTTTAAATGTGATATAACACAGTGTTCAAAAATTTTAATTAAATTTTTATTAAAGAAAATTACTTGAAATTTTTTACATTAAGAATTTAAGGCTCCTTATTCTCTTGTAGAAATTTATCACTATGCCAATTAATCACTTATTTCGAGTATTTAAAATACTATAATATACAGTAATTTAAGTATTCGAAATAAAAGTGATTAATTACTCGAAATAAAATGATAAATTGGCGTTACTAGTAATAAATTTCTATAAGGGTTGAAATAAAGTATAAGAGATAAATAGGCTATATGTGAGCCGTATGCGAAATGTGAGATGTAAGACGCATATTGAAATTTAATTTTTCGATATAACTTTCAAAAATGTACACGAGGTACAAAAAATTAGCTTGGACATTTGTAAGACTTAAAATTGGGATTAATTCTCAATTCTATAATTAAATTTCGATATAACACACCTTACATCCGCGCACGGCTCACATATAGCCCATTTATTAGTGCAATTTTTAAGTTCCTTATTTTTCAAAGTTCACCTTTTTACGTTATCAAATATTTTGGTACGTTTTCAAGAATTTTATATTTTACTTACCGCAGTTTCTTATCCAAATGTAAAATCTTTTATCGCAGTCTATAAAAAATTGAAACAATTTACAATTTTATGATATAATATTATTATTATTACAATTTCTATATATATGCACATCTGTCAAATATCGTGATTTATTTCACATTATTATTATCTATTTTAATAAAAAAAAAAAAAAAAAACACTTGCAACAATCAAAAATAAACCGCCTGCCGCGAACGGAAAATGCCAAGAAAGCACGCAATTTCCGCGAATCTCGTAATTTTTTTGAAGAATCAACAATTTCAACGAAATTGTAAATTCTTCAAATCACTGCACAAGTATAATTCACAATAATAATTTTCAGTAACTACGATAAAAAATCGTATACTGAAAACCGCAAACGAAAGTGCAATGGGAGTAAGAGTAAAGTCTGTGATAAAATTAATTGGCAATAGAAAATTAATAATTTTCAAATAGAAAAATTTTGAAATTACCGAGGATTTACAAATAATAAAGTAAAAATATTAAATAATTTATGTTTTCGAATTTTGCTCGCGGAGAGGATCTTTAAAACAAGATTTTTAGAAGAGAGGACCTTTAAAATATAAACAGGCAAAAACGTTGAAAAAATTAAAGCGCGCGTTTAAACAGATAAACGCAATGAAATAGATACGCAATTGTTTTTACTTATCGCTGTAAGCTCACAAGCTTCTGACGTGCTATACACTTTTATATAATATATACAGGGTGTCCGGTAACTAACGGACCAATGATTAAGGGCGGATTCTCTGGCCAATTTGGAGACGATTTTTCCTTAGCAAAAATGTAGAGAAGTCAATAATTTTCGAGTTATAAGCGATTGAAAAAAATAGGTTTTTTGAAAACTAAACGTTTTGGAGTTAAAAGTCTAACATAATTACATTCTTCAGTTAATTTCAGGTAGAGTTTACTATAATAAAATTTTAATTTAAGGCTTAGTTATAAAGATATATAATGACAAAGATTGGAAAGTTGTAAAAAATGATGACCTTTTTCGACATTTTCGCTGAAGAAAAATCGTTCCCAAATTGACCAAAGAATCCATTTGTAATCATTGGTCTGTTAGTTACCGGACACCCTGTATATTGGACACGAGTTTCGTTTGTTTCAGATTCTCGAGAGTTGAAGTAGGAACATACGAGTATCATATATCGTTTGTGACTTGCCGAATGAAAGCAAGACAGAGAGCGAACGAGATGATGAGCTTAATAGCTCATAATGTTATAAATAAATAAATAAAAAATTATAACTTGACCTACTAGTTATTGAATCTTTTTTTAATAAAATGTTTCATTATTATTATCATCTAAGTCTAAGTCGTTTAATTACTTTTTAGTTTTTTAATAATTAATTTAATTTATTCTAGTCATTTTTATATGAGAAAAATAATATCACGTATACGTTTTATAATGAATTAATATATTTCGGGAACCGAATTATATATTCTTAATAATATTAAAGTGTTTAAAAATTATATTTGACTTTTAATTTTAATTATTTTTAGCAAAGAGTTTCGAAATCTCTTACACACATAATGGGGATTTTTTTCATCCATATATTCGCAATTTAGTATATATGTTAATTATTAATTTTAATAAAATAAAAATTAAAATTAAAGGTCAAATATAATTTTTAAACACAAATATATTAAATTAATTATAAAACGTATACCCATGATAGTATTTTTCTCGTACGAAATAATTAGAGTAAATTAAATTAATCATAAAAGATTAAAAATTAATTAAAGAATTTAAACTTATATTTTATATAATAATAATAAAACATTTTATTACGTCAAACCGTCGTGAAATAATTAAATAAAATTTGCTAGTTACGTCGAAGTCAAGTTTTCTAAGCTTATAAAACATTTTATTAAAAACAGATTCAATAAATATAAGTACATGTTATATATATACTTATATTTATTGAATCTGTTTTTTTTATAAAATGTTTATTATTATCATATAAAATATAAATTATTTAATTATTTTTTTATTTTTTTATGAGTAATTTAATTTATTCTAGTTATTTTTGTACGAGAAAAATACTATCACGGGTATACGTTTTATAACAAATTAAATATATTTATGTTCAAAAATTATATTTGACCTTTAATTTTAATTTGTATTTTATTAAAATTAATAATTAACATATATACTTAATTGCGAATTATATGGATGAACAAAATCCCTATTATGTGTGTAAGAGATTTCGGAACTCTTTGCTAAAATAATTAAAATTAAAAGTCAAATATAATTTTTGAACACTTTTATATTATTAAAAATATATAATTCGACTCTCGAAATATATTAATTCATTATAAAACGTATACGTATTAGTATTTTTCACATATTAAAATGATTAGAATAAATTAAATTAATTATTAAAAACTAAAAATTAATTAAACGACTTAGACTTAGATGATAATAATAATGAAACATTTATTAAAAAATAATTATAATAGGTCAGGTTAAGAATCGTTTATTTATTTATTTGTTTGCATCATAAATTCTGTCCTTTCCGAAATTACGCGAACGCTACGAAACGATAAATCTCGTACATGCCGCCGGACGAGTTCATGAGCATGAGACGATCTTATCTTGGGAACGTATTAATAGTTACTGCATTGACCACTACTCAATATGGCGCTTTAATCATGTTGATTTAATGCTTGGTTCTCCTTCATCCAGACCTTTGGCAGATCTATGAATCTACTACAGACATGTGATTGTCACTTTTTCCTGTCAACAAGTCAACAAGGAAATCTTTCTGCATTATCGACACCTGATAAACGCGATTTCTATTTCGACATTTTTTTATCAACATGCGCGTTGTCTCTGTCAAATGTTGTCAGATGTCGCTGCATGTACTAAAGCAGAAGTTTAAAAATTAAAGAGATGACAAATGACACATAACGTGTAACACGAAATTATTGAAGACCGATCTTACACGAAAAATCGCTAATAAAATAACTTCCTCAGCAACATTAGAGTAAAAAATTAAAACTGTAATCGAAAAAATGGTAACACAAAAAATGCAAATTCGAAGAAAAATTTCATCACTTATTCAAAAAATACACATGTATATATAAGAATTAGAAATTTAAATTTCATGGATAAAAAATTGAAAACATGTTTTTTGCAAGAATAAAGTTGTATAATATTTTTCTTCCTAAAAAGATGCAAAAGTTTGAAATTCAAGAATTCGTTTATAGTTTTCAAAATCTTATCATTTAATAAGTATATATACATTTTTTGTCCTAAAACATAATAATATAAGGTAAAATTTTTTTAATTTTATGAATTAAAATAATGACAATTTTTGCAGAAATAAAGTAAAATTTAGAAAACCAAAGATAAAATTAGTAGATAATCTTAGTTAATGTAAAATTTATCCTGTGTAAGAGGATATTTTTGTCATCAAGTTTCCTTGTCCGCGGTTTATACGCAAATCCTGACCACATTTGCTGACCACGATGTACGTGATATGCAACATTAGTTAAATATAGTATGTACAATATTATATCTGGATTCTTGGACTTACACATAAAGCATGTATAACTTAGATAAATTATCAGCAATTTTCGTAGCAGTTAATATCAATTCTTAAAATTTTAATTCTTTCATTTTTATTTTCATCAATTAATTTTTATACAATAATCTGTGTATATATTATTGATTTTATTTTAAATTCTTAAAAATAGATCGTAGTAAATCTTAACTGTATAATGTCGAAAAATTGATATATAAAAATTATAAACTAAAAATATAAAAATGTTAAAAGTTATGGAATAAATTTTACCGTTCAATCATATATGGAAACAAGAGATAATAACGATAAAGAAGATAAGATTGAAAAATGTAAATGAAAAATTCAATTATTTTGAACTAATACCGTTTATCGAAAATATAAATTTTATAATTTGACGAAGTTAAATTAATTCTTTTTAATTCTTCAATTTTTAGCATTAAATTTCAAAGAATGTGTAGTTTTTCCTTTAATTTCTCCTATATAGTTAATTATATGCGTATAATTTATTTCTTTTTCTACTAGCTATATATAATTTTATTGTAAAAAAAAATGCAAACGACTAATTTCTGACGCGATTTGATGATTCCAGATAAGTGGTCGGAAACAGATAATATGCGGCTGATAAGAGAAAACCGACATCAGCCTACAATCGGAAGTCGTCATGTATCCAAATCAGTTTAAGTAGTCCAGAAGAAAGCTACTTATTTAGTCTACTAACAATAAGTTGAATAGGTCATGTTCTTTGCATTAGTGTAGTGTTAATATTTTGCACAGTTTATTTCTATTCGTTTTGCAATTTTACATTGTGTTACATCGTGAATTAAAGAGAGAAGAAAATAAAACAATTAGAACGAAATGGTGCTGAACAAATTTGCAACCGTATTTTGGCGGAGGTCCTCATCTTACCGGTATGTTTGATATTTTAAATTATTTTAATCAAAGATTTAAGAAATCAGAATTTAAACACGTAGTTTATATTACACATTCATGTTTAATAATATTAAGTAAAATAATAAAATATAATATAGATAAATATACAATAATAAAATATTAAATAATATTATTAAATATAATATTAAATATTTCATAAATTAAATAAAAACATAATATTTAACGTAATATAAATAAAACTGGCGCAATCAGATAAGTAGTCGAAAAATCAATCCCGCAGATATGTAATCGAATATCTCGATTTATTCAAGATAAATTATATATAATCAATTATTCTTTTCCTAGAAAATAAAGTATAATTTTTGAACTTATCAATCAAGATTATTGTCGAGATATTGTATTGATAAAGAATAAGTAGGATTAAATTTGGTTGAATTGAAATAAAATAAAAATAAAGCACATTTCATTCATTTCAGATTGTTCTCGAGGCTCGTTTTCATCATAGGTACGATTTTTACAGACAGTATTATGATGAGAATATTAATAACGAGCGAGTGAGATTTCCGATGAAAACCTCCGAAGAATCGAATTACGATCATAATATAAAAACAGAAACAAATTCGCGTTTGAAAGGTAATGTTAAATATTACAAAACAAAATTATTTGGAACAATTTACATTTGGCATACGATTCATTATTTACGATTTTCATAATTTAGATGCATCTGACTTTTCTTGTAATCTTTCCCTAAAACGTAATATTTTTGTTAATTTTTTTATGGCTTTCTAGATGACAAGCGTACGATCTTCGATAGTAGTTTTGTATTTCCGAATGATGGGCTGCAATTGCGAAATGACGATGATAGTTACATAGATGATATGATCGATTCATTGTCACAGGCAAATTGCGATCACAAGATGCAAACCTTTTGCGAAGATGTCCCGAATTATCCCGCAACATTTGTGCATCAAGCACTCGTGAGGAATGCCAGTTTATTGCATTATGCAAACGAGGATGTTGTTAGTAAATCGATAAAATTATGATTTATTCTTGTAATTAATTAGCAAAACTCTCGTATAAAATTAAAAAAATTTTTTTCCGCATCAATAGTTAGAAATTGCACCGCGAACAGACACCAACGAAGATCGGCTTTGTGTCTCTCTGGTAAAATTAACTTTAAATTATAATTAATTCTTAATGCTTGTTAGTTAAATTTTTAAAAACGGTATAAATTTCTAGGAACGAGTAATTCATCCAATGGCAGGCCAAAACTCAAAGAACGAATGGCGCTACATTCTTCAATCAAACCAGTCGAATTTTTATCAAGGTGTGCGAATCGAAACTTGCATGTAAGTGTTATGCAATTAAAAAAAGTTATATTTGACACTTTTTCAATACTTCTGATATATAATATATATGTATATGTAAGTATATATATATGTATATTCAACATGTCTAATATAAATAATTAGAGAATAAAATATAGCCCATTTTCCGTCAGACAAATCAGAGAGTTATGTAATAAGTATAAAATAGTTTGTCAGTAAGATGAAAGTAAGACAGAACGTTAATAAAAATGACGTAATATATTCTATTTTCAGGGATGAAAATACTAAATGCAGGTTGATTGACGGCTTTGCTGAGGGGTACATCACAACATGCAGACAGAAATATATTTATCGCGAGTTGTCAGCTATTTCCGACGGCGGTAAGATCATCCGCGATTATTTCCGCTTTCCTGCGAGTTGTTGTTGCCACGTTGAGTTAAATACCGACGACGAAGATGTCAGAACACGAATATAATTAGCTTTAGAGAACATTTCATCCTCAAATTGCGCAAAAGATGCATATAAGATTATATAGTTAAAAATATTTTATAGTATGCAGATATTTTTGAGCGATTTTCTGATCATGGAAATAATTAGTTGGCTGTCGCTTAGAGTTTAATTACGGCTTACAATCGATAAGAGAATAATTGCTCTCAAAAATATTAAGAGCTTTGTAGGACATTATATGCTGAATAGGAAATTCTGATGATCTGAAAAAGAATGAAAACAATAAATCGATACAATTATGTCAAAATTATTAAAAATGTTTTCAATATTATTAATATTGTAACGTCATCTCTCTTTTACCTTCATAAAAGATTCATTGGATAAAGTAATTATGTAGCCGCTAGTTATCTTTATCGGTTTCTTAGATCGTGTGATTATCAACAAAAGAGTCTTCATTAAATCAACAGGAAGCATCGGCCAATCCATCTCATAAACGGCATTGCCGATTTCAGTACTCTGCGTGTTTAAAATTAATAGACTGCTTAAATAACGACTTCATATAAAAGTCCAAAATTAATCAAAAAGATAATATATTTAATAGCTTAAAAATTTTTATCACATTCGACCTTCAGTGTCACTTCGTTGCCGAACCAGCAGTACAAATAGATCTGCATAAGCATGCAACCGAGATACGACAAACTCCATGCGAACTCGAAGCTCAGTAAGCTCTTCTTCGACATTTTATAGATACTAAGACAAAGTACTGTCGAACTTATGGAAAATTGTAGGAGGATCATCAGCGTGAATACCGCATTGATGCGTTCCGCGAATCTGCCAAATTGCGATTATTCAATACTTACGTTCTTTGTTCTTCTTCTAAATAAACTCTAACAACTCCTTACCTATACACGTAGCGATGATGATGGACAAACTCGCGGACGAGTCTCTGTTCTCGCGCCTTCAAAGCCTCTTTCGAAATGCTGGATTTTCGAACCTCTCGTAGCAAATCCGGCAATATGCGAGCGCGATGACATAGTATGTCCAGCTGAGCACAAGTCTGAATCATAAAGCCGGAGATGAGAGTCTCGTGAGCGACGCTGGCGTTCGCACAGACTATCAGTCCAATAGTTTGGTGCAGTACAGTAGCCCAATAGATAGCAGTCGACGAGATATCGTAAGGCACCCAGTCGGAGAGCGGTAAAGTCCTGGTTTTGGCAAAGTGCCGTAATTGAGCAATCGTGGCGAAGAAGACGGCCGACTCGTTCAATATCTCGCAGTAGATAGTAATTATTCTGAAAAAAACAAGGTCTATGAAAAATGATGGCATATTTAAATAGAGATTATTACATTTTAAAATCTACATAAGAATTGTAAGAGTTAATAAGCATTTGATATTCAAGGGTTTAGATTTGATTTATGAATCTTTAATTTTTTCATTTTTTCAGCTCTTCGAGATCTTTGTCTTGCATAAAAATATTTCAAAGATAATTACAATACATATAAATTCAAATTTTACAAAGTTAAACTTCATAATTACGCACTTGGCATTATGATCGAATTTCCGTTGGATATTCATCTCGTGATTGTCTCTGGGTACACAAATGTCCGTCAGCAGCATATCAGTGAGACCGATAATCTCGTCCCGACGTAGCACCAGGTTCAATACTTTGCAGCTGACGCCGAGCACCGACAAAAACAGCGAGAATTTTTCGATGAAGGTCTCAAGATCCTCGATCATGAAACAATCGACCAAACCGCAAAACGTAAATGAGTAGAGAAGAAAAATCATTATGACGGAATAAACATTGTATGCCCAATATTTGGTGGGGGTCAGTTTGACGGGTCGCCAATAACCGGTGTACGTCAAGAGAGCGAACGATAAGGAAAGAGTGTGCATTGTTCTCGTTTAAAAGTCTAGAGGAAATACTTCAAGGTCTATAAAAGGTCTCGATAAAAATGCCTTTTGCTAGACAATGTTCCGAAGAAGCTATTTTATTGCAGCTTTTATTTCTTCGAATCATTTTATATTATATCGCTTCCCTATTCTCTCGCACAAAGAATTACCTCGACTTATATTCTAGATAATTCATGCATAAATAAGTTTTACTAATCGTTGCAATTGAGACATCATAATACTGTAAAGACCATTTATGCTATTAGAGTCGTATATAGTTCCACCTTATCATCAGCCTTTAAAAATAAACGTTATAGCATAAATACTGTATTTCGTTGTCGCGATCGATATAGATTGATTTACGAGTCTTGAACAATAAAGAACGATATATATTTTTTTATTTTTGAATCTATACTTAAATTTCTCAAATTGATAATCAATTTTCTGTAAAAAAAGAAAAATTAAATTTTAATTACGAGAATTGTGTACCTAGTAATGTAACAATTGTGTCGGAAATAAAAATTGAATTAATAGAAAGACCATTATTGTATGTGACGGAAGAAAATTGTAGAATAATACAGCAATAATTAGCCGCATAAAAGAAATAAGACTCATTGCGCTCAATTGTTCATTAATATACTATGATGAATGTAATGTCATTAATATGCTATGATGTAGAGTACGTGCGTCGCAGAGGACGATGCACTATATTTATTTTTTTCTTTTATTAGTATGAGGGTTTACTTGTTCACTATTCTAGATCTTGTGCGGCATATTCCTTTCAATATTGCAATTTAATTGTATAGTCAACTCAACTATTACGGATGAATTCCTTTCTCGTGCAAACCAAAAGGACTCTGACTAGTCGTCACTAAATAAACATTTCTTTGTCTATAAAAAGAAAACAAAGGAGGAAAGATAAGCATTGCGTATGAAAAAAAACTTTGCTTAAGTTTTTGAAGTATTTCCTTTTTTAAAACTTAAATTTTTTTACTAACGCATTACTCGGAGTGCCGTATCCCATGATGACTCGTGTGTTATTAATACATTCGCCAGAAGAAAAATGAAATAACGATGGACATTCCACGCCCATGAAGGCCGATTCATCGATCAGAGACTCGGCATAAAATCTCCAGGAACGATGATGACTGCAAAAATCTGAAATGACAACAATTCAAATGTGTATGAGGTATAATTATAATTGATGTTCAAGTTATATATTTAATTATATATTTAAATGAATATGCCTTCTTTAGTGTTGAACGTAACATTTAACGGACAGCCCGGCTGTATACGGCGACCTCCGTTTGGGAAAAAGTCCACTGTGCCTATGCTCTTAGTAATACCGTAAAATCTACTATCTGTGTGTATGATATCTACGAAACGAGCATCGGAGGATGTGAGACAAGGCTGAAGAAAATTGAAAAAAGGACCGGCAGGATCCAATCCTGTAACAAGAAGCTCTTTATTTAAGTATTTTTTCATACCGCGCACTGCTCTAATTCAATACTTAGTATTTGAATATTAAGATTTTAAAATAGCATTTTCAAATTTATGAATTTTATTTTTTAATATATCTATTTATTTATAACTTCAAAAAAAGAATCAAATTCTTATATTTATTTTATCTAAACATTAATATATACACTATAATTCTATTATATTCATCAGATTTTTTTAAAATTCTTTATTGCGAATTTATATGAATTATCAACATGTTTCCAAATATTATTTAAAAACATCATATATTAATATTGCATTAAAATCACGATATAAAATTAAAATTAAAAATTGATGAATTTTACCTGTAATCCGAGGAATCTGAAAACTGACGTTTCTGCCGATATAGCCAGCGACTTGGCTGCCCAAAGAATGTGCTACGATGTGTAACTTTTCCGAATCAAAGCCCGAATCTACCATCTTATTAAGAGTCTTCGCGAGAACGGTTGCAACACGAGGAGCGTTTATCACAGCTTTCATGTACGACTCGCTCACCAGTTTACCATAATCCACTCCGATGATGTTGTGGTCATTTCGTTTTAAGTAAGCTGAGAAAAGAAAAAGAAATATAATTAATAAATACAATACTTTTTAAAGTAACTATTCGCCGTTGAAATATACCTTGCAATACTGTTTGTACGCTCTCTTTTTCTAAATGTTCCGTAAAGCCATGAATATACAGTACTGTTGGCTTATTGCTGTATTTGAATACTCGATGAGATAGAAGTGAATCGGTATTCTTTAGAGAATAATCGACGTATTCATTCATAGTAGTTCTGAATAAAATAAATATTTGCATTGATATAAAAGTAAATTTTTAGAGATTTATAGCGATTTTATCTTGTATCGAAAAAGAAGAATTGATATCGTTGTAAGAATTCAATTATCTAGGATTGGAATTTAATGTCAAGACGATGAAAATATATGATAAGAATGATCGACGGTATAAATATAAATACCCAACGTAATTACGCAGAAAAATGCTCTCAAGATCTCTGTTAGATTTTCCACCTATGAAAGAGAATTTATATTTTATGTCAATTTTTTTATGTCGCATTTTATATATATATCAGTCATATTGAACTATTTTCTTTGATGATATATGTATATTTGGAGCATTTTTTATTATGCATTCCTCTTGTTCTTGTTTAAATTGTTCTTTATGTATAGTATTTTTCAGAAATAGGTGGTTTTGAAAATTTATATATATATATAATGGGATATAAATTTCCAAAACCACCTATTTCTGAAAAATGCTATACATAAAGAACAATTTAAACAAGAACAAGAGAAAATGCATAATAAAAAATTCTCCAAATATACATATATCATCAAAGAAAAGAGTTCAATATGACATTATTTAATACATCTAATAATAGTATTATAGTATTTTCTATATTAAATGAATTTATAAACTAAATTAAATATATTTACCAATTACAGCTACGTATATTGTAAAGATAATGACAAATTGTTGAAAACTATAGATCATCATTGCAACTCTAAGAATACGTTCTTTCGTCGAATAAAAAACTTTTGGTCTCCGAGCTTTCGATTTGTCCTGCGTACGGCAATATAAAGAGTTAAAAGTCGTTAATATATGCGTCCTTAGATTTACGAGACATCCGGTTATTCAATATCGCCCCGACAGCTTTTCTTGTGCAAGAGTAACGCGTGTGTCGAGCAGCAAAGAGATACGATTACCCTTCCTGATGGAGAGTTTAATGCGCTAAACGTACAAGGCGAAAATATCGCGTACACGTTCGAAAGAAATCGCGCGATTATAACTAAACAATTATTATAGAATGAACAGATATACACACACAACGAAACAACACTTGTGTTAATACAGTAAATAATTAGAAATGGTCATAAAATACAATGTCGCGTCACAATAATTTTTAAGCAAATGAATTTTTAAAGTTACTCCTCATATATATATTACGACATATTGTTCTGACGAGTTCAAAAATGCAAATGTTGCAAATGTGCATGATAATAAAGTTTTTAAAACATAAATAACTCTTTAAAATATCTCGGTATATCAAGGATATACACAGAACATATACACGTGTATATGTATACATATATATGAAAGAAATATATATAGTATATAAAGATATATGTATATATAAAATTTGTTATGTAAGTGTATATATAAATATATAAATTTTGTGTCTATAATATTTAGTCTGACAAGCCTGAAATAAATATACTGCTAGCAAAAAGAACTTTAATTATTCTGCAAGCAAAAATTGCTCAATTACTTATTTATCATAACATATTTTGCATATTATTGTTTAATTTGCTGCTTAACTTTTACCGAGATATTTTAAGAAGATAACTTTAAATGAGAGATTCAAAGATATTGTAAAATGTCATTATATGCATTAACAATATGTAAATCAATGTTAAAAAGGACGAGACATTAGAAAATGGTATTTTTTAGTAAATTTCTACTAATTGCTCGTAAAATAATGAGTGCGACAGAATACCATGTAAAATCTGGTAAAATTCTATAATAGTGTCTTAGTGACTAATTCAATTGTATTCATGTTAATTTATGTACTGATAAATTTATGGGAATGTCACGAATTATCAAACTGCAAGTAATTATGTGTATCTCTGATACGCGAGGAAACAAATCACGCAACTGAAATTTAGATTGAATTTTAATCGCTTTTATTTCGCACGCGTTTGTGCAAGTCGTTATTTCGAATGATATAATTTCGCAAATAAATCGGTCACATATAGGAATAGTATTCGTTAAATTCCAATTTATTTTCGTAATAATTAACTATAATTGAATTTGATAAATAGTTAAGCTTGTTTTTTGTAAATAATAAGCTAACAATTAGCTTAATTTTATTAACATATATGAAATAGGTAATTACTTTTATATTTCTTTCTATATTGAATTCTTCGTTGCCTTCAGTGTAGCTTTTATTTTTTTACTTATTGTCTAACGGTTGTAAATAATATTTTCATAATTCAGTATTTTGCAATGTAAAAAAAGTCTTGCGGTCCGTTTACTTAAAATTAACAAGTATATAAACGGATCCCCTTAAATGCTCAACGACGTTTGAGATCCGTGCAATGTAATATTTTTGGATTTTCGGGAGTGGATGTTTACATAGGATATTTAGATTTTTTAGATTTATAATCACGACTTCTTTTTGGATCCCCAAATTCAAGATACATTTAGGCCACGTTCCATTTGGTAATCGCAATGCTTGTAATATCATTTCATTGTTCATAAAAAAAAACATTACAATCATCAAGTGGAATGAAGTCTTAATTGCACATTCTTAAATCCTTATAATTTCGAATATCCTTACGATCTTCGCATTTACGATGAAAAGCGTAGTAAACATCAATATACATATATATCCCGCGTATCCACTAAATATAGTTTGCAAGCGATTTATATTAATCACAATTGTAATGTATGTAATTTAATACTAGTGTGATACATTTAACCAACTGCGTTTAGCATAAAATTTTGCGTATAGTCGTATTCGATTGTTGGTATGACAGATTGAACAAACTTTAGAAATATTATGAGATACATATGCACTCCTAATTCTCCACCACCTTCCATTACAGTCTCCATGATTTTTTTCATCACCTCTGCATGCCTGTTTAAATAATGAATCGTTCAATTCATTAAGATTGAATAAATTTGGACCAACTTTTTTTTATTCTTTCCTCCCTTTTTATATTTTACCTGCAAGGATGAACAGAAGCCATAGGAGGACCAGGTATATGCGGATGAGTTTCCATTGTAACTGTCTTTTTAGCATGGTCTTGACTAACATCTTCGTACATCTCTTCTACATTAAGTGGTTTTCGGTTCTATAGTGCAGTCAAAAGCAATAAATGATATAATAAATAGTATAATAGATCTACAAAGCAATAATTCAAAGATTTAAAAGAATTGGGATGAAAATAAATACGCGCATTTTACCTCATTATATCCGAATAACCATAATCTAGGCGTTTGATAGTATTTATCATATGTAATGTACAAATCATAAGTGCGAGTACGAATAATTTCTCCCTCTGTAAATGAGTCTTGCTTCTCTTGACCAACTTTCTTGGTACTTTCCGTCGCTGTGTGCTACAATAAAGTTGTTTAATTTTAGAAAAAGATTTTAGAAAACAGTTCTTTCTCTACAAATTTATCCTTTACCTTATCCTGTTCATCTAGCATTCCACTAATTTCAAAAGCATCCATATCAGCGGCATCCTCATCGTCCTCGTCTTCATCTGCATTGTCATGGGTTCGAGATGGCTCCTCCAATGTCTCCTCCAAAGACATTTCCGTTACTCTCTCATCCAGGCCAGCAACACTAGTAGCGTAATGATGAGTATCTACCCACCCACCTTCAGGATCGTCTGCTTCTATAATACATTCTTGCTCGTTGCTATATTCCATCTATGAATAAAAAGTAAATAATATTATTATATGTAAAAAAATAAATTGTACATTATACTTTCAGTCGTGACATTACTTGTTTACACCGACGTGTGCAAGGAACGTTACGAGTAAGCAGGAATTGCTTGCCCTTTGGTAAATAGGATTTTGCCCTATCTTCATCACCAGTAGCCCATTGCCATGTTGGACAATGATGCACTAAATGGTCCCCAGCTGCTACAAATTCCTCTGGTGTTAAGACACCTGTCTCTCGGAATTTGCTCTCCTTAAAATCAGACAATTTCATATAAAAAATAAAATAAAAATATCTAATAAATTGTAGTATTTATTGATGAAAATAAAATCCCAGACAATTTCATATAAAAAATATCTAATGAATTGTAGTATTTATTGATGAGGATAAAGATAAAGATAGAAAATATATAATAAATCTCTATTAATTGCCTGGTTTTCGACAAGAAAATTATTCCGTATTTTTTGTTTGTTGTTTTTATCACTCTGACCAAAATATCTAATCGACTCCGATAAATTGCTGATATCCCGTGAGGAAAAAAATATTAAAGAAAATAAAAACATTAAGAGTTTAAAAACATCCTGAAAATTACCTTCAGCACGGGTGTCAAATATTCGGCAACGCCCAAAGCGGTGCCTTTCACCGAATTTATTACACTTTGCATTATTGACGACTACGTGTCCGTTGCGTTCGCGAGAATATTAGAGAAAGATAACCCCTACACGTGGTTGGTAGATGACGAGAGAGAGAGAGAGAGAGAGAGAGAGAGAGAGAGAGAGAGAGAGAGAGAGAGAGACGACGATATCGTTCAAGTTCAGAGATGTCCTGTCATTTTGGTCCGAAACGAGGATCCTTTTTCAACTGTCAAATCGTGTCACCTGCTGGTTTTTCAACTCGCCGAATCGATTTACACGGAGTTGTTGCACGCAACCTCGTCGATGTGACAGATGACCACCGGATAACCATAGTGTATAACAACATAGATGGGTAATCGATGCTCGCGAATTTATCCGCGGTGAAACAGTGTTACCAACAGTCAAAATAAATACGTCCCTTGACATTAAATAAACTAAACGAGTTGGCAGATCTTCCGTCTACTAACCCAACCTCGAAATGTCACAGACACTTCACGCGTGTCTTGTTCGATATTTTGCACGGTTAGAGAGACTGGATGACAGATGGAAAGAATTATCGGGGAAAGCCCAAAGGCCGCTCGTGGCTCTCGCTAATCAAGCCGAACAATTTCGACATGTTACGAAGTGAGTAAATGATGAATAAATTTGTCGTTTATTGACCATTTTATCGCAGATTTAATGAGAGATGACGCGATTGTTGCAGCGTCAACACAAGTGAGACGGAGAATAGTATGGATGAAGAAACGCGGGAAAGATTGATATTTAAAATCCTTATGGGCCTCGAAGATGAAATTGCGCTTCTTTCTGATATCTTGAAGCAATTTAATGACGCCAATCAAGTATATATATTTATCTATAATTTATAATATAATTAAATAAAAATAAATAGAAATAAAATTAAATAAAAATATATAATTTAATACAATAGAACATGAACTTCAAATTTAATTTTTTTAAGGATTTGAAGAATCATTTGATCAATTTGGAAAATGCCAGGAGTCAAGTATCTTTAAAGGATGAAACGATGCAAGAATTAATTAAAGGAACGGCTTATCGACCAACGCTCAATTTGCTTCTACAATGGGCCGTGGAAGGTTTCCAATTTTATCATAACATGTACATATACTTGATATTTTAGAATATAATTAGTGCTTCTTTAATCAGTTCAGTATAATTTACTAATTTTGCACGAACATTAGGTATCTTCGTATAAAGGATCGCATGAAATCGATCGATTATAAAACGGAAGAGACCATTGATAATTTAATGTCTTCCTTTGTAGAAGAACAGCGCGAGAGGAAGAATATACAAAGTAAATATATCTTTTTTGCATCCTACAGTTATTAAATATATGTTCGAGATATGATTGAAATGTATAAATAAGCAGCTGCATTTTTAATCTACTATTATAATTTTCACTCTTGTTATTACTTATACTTACTACTAATACTTATAACAATAATAGAATGAGTAGAATATATTAGTTTATTCGATCGTTAGTATAATTCCGTTTTTTGCTTAAACATTCCATTCCAATTATTTAAATATAACATGCAGAAAGTCTTAATAAAGATTGTATATGTTTCAGAGATACTCGCTTTTACGAAATTCCTAGCTAAGGAGACTCTTCGTTAAGAAAACAAAAATATATGAATAAAACTGTAGAGAAGCATAAAAAGTTAAAGAAGAATATTTTACATTCTTATGGTGTTTATGATACATACTTTGTATAGGATTATTTTTATAATAAATATTTTTTTACAAAAAACAAGCCCATTAATTATTCCATATATAGAAGATAATGAAAATTTATATTACTGAATATTTTAATTTTTCTTAAATTAAAATCACACACACAATTATCAATACATTATTATCCTAAAACATTCTCTTTTCGTTGCAATTTATTGCATCTCTATGTAACAGTATAATTTTTTTTATATATTTTACAAAGTTTTTTGATAAAATCCTTTAAATTCCAAGATAACGTTAAATCATAATCTACCGTTCGTTTTCTTTTTTCTTTCGAAAAGCAAAGGACTCGCACGTGATTTCGCAAGAGAATCGAGTTGCCGAAAGAGAGGAGTTTGGGGCGCCGGCGCCAGCTATTGATTCTCTTGAAATACCGTGATTTCAAAAGTTACTATCACCAGCACCTAACACTGGGGTGTCACCAGTGGCGAACCGCTCTTCGACCGCGGACAAGGTCCTCGCGCGTTTCCTCCTTTGGTCCCGGCAGGTCGGTAAGGATTTCGCTACATCGGTTTCTGTTCGCGGCTGAAGCGCGATGAACGACCGCATCTTTTCGGGCATCTCTCCCCTTCGTCGACGGACACTTTCTAGAGCTGTCGCACTTAAATCAAGGAATCCGGGCTTTCTGTGTCAATCGCAAATTCCGTACAATGAAGTGAAATACTCTCGTACGCGCTAGGGCGTACATATATATTCGTTCGATTAAAACGGACAGCTTTTTTCATATCCATCGAAGCTCTATGTATTTATTTTAATTAAAAAAATGAATCTTCTCTCTCGCACGATCGCGTATAAAATTTCATGAGATTCGCATCCGTATCCCCCAGCGAGAACCCGTGCATCTACGTCAAAGTAAAAATCAATTTCCAGTTAAGTTTTCAATCGATTTTTTTTATATACATATGTAAAGAGATATGTACATAAATTTTTCTTTACGTAAAAAGGACACGTGTATACCTAGAAAATATATCATTATGAAAGTGTAATGGACACCTGTGTGAGATAATATATACTTAAATATATATATATATATATATATATATATATATATATATATATATACATGCACACACATATACATACGAGTATATGTATCGAATCTCAGAAGCTGTCGCATGTACATATGACGTAAACAGTTGTGTGCGTAATAAGTGAATAATAAAAAATGAAAACGATCAATTCAACAATGAGCTAAGCGAATTTTTCGGGGAGAGAGAGCGTAATAATTAAATTTAATATAAATTTTTGATATTAAAAACATATGTTTATATATTATAGATTAAATAATAGATATGAATTACGTTATATTAATTTAATATTAACTTTTTCAAAATATTTCATCTCACAATATCTTTTATTTTTGAAAACGATTACAAGTGTTTCATTGTGCAATTTATCAACCATTTTGCTTCGCGTGCTTTTGTGCCTTATACTTCATCTTCATATATTTAATCATTCTAATCTTTTAAATTCTTTTTCCAGGATGGAGCATCTAAATCTTTTTGTCTGATCAGAAAGAACCGGATTTGAAAAGAATTAAAACGAAAACGGAAAAGATATGGCGAATACGGCTCATCTCGTCCGCCGGCAAAGCTCCCGCGATCTCAAGCCTCAAAAAAGCATCGATAAGCTCGAAATGAAAGAGATGCGTGGTAGATTAATGGTGGAAAATCGAAAGAACGTCGCCACTGCCAATTACGGGGCCACCAATGCGGCCTTCGAAGATACCAGTCCTAACAAGGTACCTCAGCCTATTTCATTCACTTTTACAGGACACCATGAATTTGGTCTTTGTTCCTTGTCCTGTTAACGTTATCTTGGAATTTAAAATCATAAAACTGGAAAATATATATATATATATATATATATATAATAAAAACCATACTGTTATATAATTACAATAAATTGGAACAAGAAAAGTTTTAGGATAATAATGTATTGACAATTGTGTGATTTTAATAGAGCAAAACAGGAAACGGTCCAGGCCCCGGCAACAACGAAGGCAAAGCGATTTTTCGGCCGGAAGCGGGTGAAGACGAGCGTGAAAATTGGGATAGCAAACTCACATTTCTCCTGGCGACCGTAGGATATGCAGTGGGCCTTGGAAACGTATGGCGGTTTCCTTATCTGGCCCAGAAGAACGGCGGAGGTACGTTGAAACTTCTTAAGTTTATTTAGATGCTCTCTAGTGCAATTGTAAGCATGCTTTCTAATGTCCACCAGGTGCTTTTCTAATTCCTTATTTCGTGATGCTGGCCATTGAGGGTATTCCTATATTTTATCTGGAATTGGCAATCGGCCAAAGATTAAGAAAAGGTGCCATTGGCGTGTGGAATCAGGTGAATAGAGAAAAAAATCGATAACTTACCAATCATACCAAAAGTCGAAATTTTGATGATGAAATTTTCTATCGAATGTTTCGAAAAGGTATCCCCGTATATGGGCGGTATTGGAATCAGTAGCGCCGTAGTCTCCTTTAACGTGGCCCTTTACTACAACACCATTATCGCCTGGTGCCTCTTCTACTTCGTTCAGGTAAGAAAGTCTATAATTGACGTTTTATTTCATCGCATTCATCTGTAACATTAAAATAAAAATTTTAAAATCTGTGTCTAAAGAGTTTCCAGTCGCAGTTACCTTGGGCAGAATGTCCTAATAGATACTTTCAAAATAATGGATCTTACGCACCTGAACCCGAGTGTTTGGTAACGTTAAAATTTATGGAATGATGCAATATAAATTATCTTATTGTTCGCGCATTAAGTTTGCCATCGTAAATGGAGAATTGATCAATAGGCGAGCAGCCCGACGCAGTATTTCTGGTATCGAACCACCCTGATGATATCCAAGGATATCAATACGCCGGAAGTGTTCAATTGGAAAATCGCTTTGGCGCTTGTCATTGCCTGGATCCTCGTCTACATGTGTATGATTAAGGGTATCGCATCCTCGGGCAAGGTATTTAAATGTCATCATATTAATTTCACATACATCCTCTTCGTCAAATTAATTATTCTGCCTCTCTCAGGTTGTGTACGTAACTGCTACGTTTCCGTACATCGTTCTAATCATTTTCTTCTTCCGGGGCGTAACACTGACGGGTATGTCGGACGGTCTGCGGCATCTCTTCACGCCAAAGGTACATTGCATACAATCTTCAATCGCACTTATTTTATATAACAGTCAATTTATTTCTCTATTCCAGTGGTACACGTTGACCGACCCGGTAGTCTGGTTAGAAGCTGGAACCCAAATCTTCTTCTCCTTAGGTCTAGCTTTCGGTGGTCTTATAGCGTTTTCTTCGTACAATCCGGTGAACAATAATTGTTATCGCGATGCAATCATGGTTAGTTTGACGAATTGCTTCACTTCTATGTTCGCGGGAATCGTCGTCTTTTCGATTATAGGTACTATTATAGGCAAACTTTTCCTCCAATATTTTCTTTTTTAATCTATAATATTTTTTAATATAATCATGAATTTCAACAGGATTCAAGGCCACCATGGTTTATGAGCAATGTTTAGCGGAAAGAAATAGCACGTTAATAAATATATTCGGCCAAGCCGAGAAGATACCCGAGGATATTCCGATCAGCGGCACCCTGTTGAACATCACGAACGGCAACGGATCACTGGGCAACTTGATAATGCCAGAACTACCCGAGTGCGATCTAGAAAAAGAGTTAGATAATGTAAGTTGTGAACTTTTTGGTGTCTATATTGTCGCGTAAATTACATATAACGATAATTATAATTACAGTCGGCAGCAGGCACAGGTTTGGCTTTCATCATTTTCACCGAAGCGATCAATCAGTTTCCCGGCGCTCAATTCTGGTCAGTATTATTCTTCTTGATGTTGTTCACACTAGGAATCGATTCTCAATTTGGTACTCTGGAGGGTGTCGTCACCAGTATCGTTGATATGAAGCTCTTCCCAAATTTAAGAAAAGAAATTCTGACAGGTAATTTGAATTTCAGCGATAAATAAGAAGAAATTCTAATTTGAAAAAATAAGTTACGGATAAGAATAAACTCGATTTCGTACGCAGGTGCAATTTGTTTGGTGTGCTGCACGATCTCGATGGCCTTCGCTCATGGAGCTGGTAGTTATGTCTTCGTGCTGTTCGACAGCTTTAGCGGAAACTTTCCGTTGCTTATAATTGCTTTCTTCGAATGTATAGGAGTGTCGTATGTCTACGGTTTGAAGAGGTAAGTGTAGAAACATTCTTGAGCCTTCAAGATTTCAGATTAGAGATGTATGTATTGCGATGTGCGTTGCGATAATTTCAGATTTGCCGACGATATCGAACTGATGACCGGCAATCGGCCGGGTCTCTATTGGTTGATATGTTGGAAGTATCTCAGTCCACTGGCGATGCTGAGCATCCTGATCGCGTCCTTCGTCGAGATATTTTTTGAAGGAAGCGGCTATCCGGCCTGGGTGTCGAGTAAAGGCGTCACAGAGAGACATGAGTGGCCTGTCTGGGCTCTAGTTCTCATCGCCATTCTTATTCTCACCTCCGTCTTGTGGATACCCGCAGTCGCTATATGCAGGTTGGCATTGATCTCAATTATGAAATTAGTTATGAAAAATCATGTATCTTGTTTTATGCGCATCTGACAAATCCTTGATTATTTTTTTCCAGATATTATGGAATCCTCATCATCGATGACAACGAAAAGGCCTGGTTTCCTGCAGCGGATCTAAAAGAATTTCATGGAATTGTCCCGCACGAAGTAACGGCAGCCGAGACGCTGCTGTTTTGCATCAGGAGTGACGGTTCGGAAGGACTATGCTGTCCTACGGGCGGTCCGGGTAGCGACGATGAGGATGAGGATCTTACCTAGGATCGATCTTTGATCGCGACGCGCGTTTCCGTGGATGATCTCGCTTCGAGAAACGCTTTACTTTATTCTGTGACGACCATCTTCGACTGCTTGCTGCTTGAGCAAAAGTGGCTGCAATCCATTTTTGGTGAACCTGGTCGAATTGTAGTCAGCGCATCCGCGTGGTAGGATCTTGTCTATTGTGTCAATTAACAGAAAAGCTTCGGCGGTAGGAATTGTTTCTTCATAATATAAAGACGGAGATATATTCGAGTAGAAAAAATATTTTTTTCAATCAAAAGTTCTTAGATGTTAAATTTAACACTTATTAGATGTCAAATTCAACTTTCCTTTCATAGTATTTTAAAATCTGTTATTAAATCTGTAATAAATCTGTAAAGGATAAGCTTTTTCTGGAATCTAAATATCCGATAACATTGATGTAAGTGGAAATTTCTTTGAGAACATTCTTGAATGTATTTCCGTCTGAAAGATGTAACCGTTTACAATTTTGTTCGAATTTAAGTGACATTATAACAATGCGAAATAGCTTTCGAAACTTCGCAGATAATGAAGAATATTAAACAACAATCTATATATACGTTTTCGAGCAAACGACACAATCGCGCATCGTGTGGACGGAAACGATAGGTGATCTTTCCGTGCGAAAAATTACCTGTTATACAAGTTAACAATGAAACATTTACTCTTTAGCGATTGCGAATAACATCAGATTTAAGATTAGCGGTAGGAGCCGTCCAGTGGACTTGGGTGACTGTACCCGAAACATTATTCTAGGTAGATAGTCTTGGATCAAAGTATTTGGGTCCTTAGATCTATGGATATTTGAAGATTCGAAAATACTTTGAGAATCGATGGATCTAAAGATTTAATGATATCAAGCACTTAAAGATTCAGGAACAACACAAATAAAAAAAGTATCCATCAAGTATTTAAAAACAAACAAGGATCTGTAGAGATCTAAAAATTCACAGGTATATAAAATTAATTGTTCGAGAAAATGAGATCCTCCCAAAGATCTAAGGATCCAGGAATCCACGGTTGATTATACGGATTAATGACGTGACAATAATGAATTTAGCATAAAAAGACTAAAATTAAAAATGACAATAAAATAATTGGACTAAATTATGCTTGACAATAACATTAACGTTGCGCAGCATGCGGTGTGCATTTCAAGATGCCTGGATAACGAAAAGGCAATTTGACCCGATGAAACTGGTTTCGTCGGGCGAGGAGAAATAATCATCATCCAGGCCACGTAGGTTAAACAATTAACGATTAGTTCCACGTAGGTCAATTATTATTTTGATTTTAACTCTGTTATGCATCAAAGTCGACCTGTGACAAAGTATATTATGAAAAAATAGATTATATATATGTAATATATACACTTATAGTGTATATATATATAAAAGTAAACTATTATATTTCAATGAAAGAAGCCAGGACTAGGTCGAATTTGAATATTCCATGGAACTTCCTGTTCGCACTCCTTTGCGAAAATACTCAAATGGCCTGATATCTTCTAGTGATATTTTAAACTCTTAACTCTTTGCACTTTGAATAATTTTCCATGTTAAACTAATAAATAAATAAACAATCATTATATTCATTTATAAAGCAAGCATTATTATAATTTCACGGTTAAATTTCTTGTAACAATGACAATATAAATTTTAATTTCTCATATTACTGAATGTTTAGATAATTAATGAGATTTTATAACTTCATGTTGAAATAAAACATTCTAGTGCAGAGAGTTAATGAATTAATGACTAATCGGTTGTGGAGTATTCGCCTAAAACGTACAAATGTAATGTGGACAATAAGTATAGTAGAATTTCGTTTTCTCGAGTTATCTATTAGTAAGCCTAAGCAGAGAAAAATAATTGCATTAGCAATCGTTAAGCAAGCGACTAATTAAATTAAATAATAGGAATCATCAATTAAATAATGACGGAAATTGTCATTAGTTAATTAATGATAAGAGACAAACCATATCTTAATATCATATCATTTGTTATAATGTATGTACTAGTTTTCTATCTCGCATATTCACTCGATCTCTATTGGCAAAAGAAAAAACTCTCTTTTAGGAGTCAAAATGCATTTTATATCTTAATTCGGAATTATCTTTCTTTTAACTGTCTTTGAATGAATACTCTCCTCTCTGTATGGTTTTGCAATTAACAATTGATAATCTTTTAACAAATATCTCTAAAATTTTGAAACATAATTGACAATTTTTAAAATTTACTCCAATTGGAATAAAGATGAATTAAAAGGAAACCAAAAATATTAAAAGGAGAGACGTTGCAGTGAGTCATTTTCAGATGACTGCTGCAGTTATCATTGGGATTATAGAGAGAAAATAATCTATCTTATCGGACTTTTGTTAACCATAATATATATATTGTCGATGTAGCTTGCGCAATAACTCAAAACAATACACCGACGGCGGACGGTAATAATTGTTATTATTACATACGATTGCGACGATTGCGATACATATATACAATAATATTGCGTATACGTAAAACTGTACATATATATATATATACATATATAAATATATTGTTGTCAGTTGAATGTTAAAATAAATACCTTGAGTGGATTTAGATTGCTCTTCACTGTTGATACTTCATGCAGAATCAGAACTCTATTTTTTTTTTAAATAAACGATAATACAGTATAAACAAGAAAGCAATAAAAACACGCGCGCACACAATTCTAGTAGTAAAAAATAAATAATTTTTTATGTAGGATAAATCAAGAATTAGATATGAAACGCTTATTTTGTTTTTAGTGTCATTAAAAATTGAATAAAAAATTTTCAGTTTTTAACTCTGCAATTTCAGTTTCAAATTTTTTTCAAAAAGCTTTAAAAAAAACTTATAACAAAATTTTATTTTATAAATCAAATTTACCGATTATAAAGTAAATAAAAATATATGCAACTAATTTTAATTATATGGTACTCTCACAGAATTATCCTGTATAAGATCTTTGTTTTAATTAGTTATTTACTAGTATATTTGTGTCGAATAATAATAGCTTTCACGTTTCTTTTTATATGGCAATTTCAGAAAAATATTTAACAATAACAAGATACAGCATTTTCTCGTCACAAAATTGTTATTTAAAGTTCTCAAAATCTGCTATCTTTCCAGGATTTGTTCCCTTTTTAAGAACTATTCATAAATCTTGTAAAGCATTATCTGGATAAGAAATAATGATAAAAAAATAAAATCAAATAAGATAAGCTATTCTGCAACTGATGTTATTATTTTGTACATATAACATTTCATTGGTAAAAATAAAAACTTATAGCAAAAAATTTTTTTCTAAGTAAAACAGAAAAAAATATTACCTTGTTCTAATAATAAATAAATTCCTGAATAAATTGCTAATCTTCTAATAAAAAGATGGAGAACGATTTTCAGAAGCAAAGCCGCTATCTTCTAACAAAGCAAACTATTTTTTGTAACGAGAAAACAATGTACTTAATCTATATATATATACTCTACTACTTTATATTCTCTTAAGATTTTTTTCTTTAGATATTCATCTATAAATTTCTTTATCAAATATTGAATTCTTTTCTTCCATTGCCATCCTCTTAACTTAAATCTATGGCAGTAAACTATATATTGACATCAGTAATGCAAGGCCCATTCGTTTTCCTGCAGGAAGGTGTCGACAACTTCCTTCATCGCCAAGTTTGGAATTAATTGATCTTGCGTAAGACGCACACGCGTGACTGGATCGAAATGACCTACCCGTTGAAGATGCTCCTCAATATCCTTTCGTTCATATGTGATTCCACTAGGTGTAATTACTGGTTCTTGCAAGATCTCGAAGCTGATTTTACCACATAAGTAATCAGGTACTTCTCTTTTCTGCAACAATTTATTTGTATGTAGCATAAAATATCATAAAAATTAATTCGAATATTTGTTGTAAAAGCAACAGAAATTGAATAGAAACAAACCCTTCTCCTCTCATCGACCTTGGCAAAAAGATCATTGAGTCGTGATATGCAAGTGTCTCTTTTTTCCTCAATCTCTTCTTTTCTCCTGGCAAGTTCAGTTGAACTTGCTTCAGTGTCAGAATCCTTTGTCGCCTCCTGTTCTTGTAGAGCTGTTAAATTACGCTTTGTATCATCTACAATCAGCTGACTCAAATAAGTCTGGAGTTCGATGTCTTGGGCAATCCTCTGTTCTTCCCTCACTTGAAAACGACGTTTACGTGCCTGTCGTAGAACACTGGTGATGTCATCACCATAATTCAGCTTTTGCTCCTTTGCCAAGTCGACAGCTACATTGTTTCAGATATTTACAATTTTGTACTATAAATTTATTCTTTCTTACCCTTGTAAAGAAAAAAGTGTCTGCTTTGTTATGTACCTCTCTGCAAATGCTTTACAGCTTCATCAAAGAGTTCCAGTTCCAGCAGAGCAAGGCCTAGGAAAAAGTGACCTTTCATCAAACAAGGATCTATATCTAAAGCCCGTCTGCAATCCTTGCACACGGATTCCCATTGTTTTAATTTCAAGTGACACAGTGCTCGATTTGTGAAATACAATGCTTGATCTGGATTCTTTATCTGCAAGAAAAATAAAGAAAAACGATTACTTTGTTGTAAAAATATCCTTTTTTTTACTCAAAGATATGACAAATTCACATATTAGAATATATGATTAGATTTCGAAATCTCCCTCATTTCTGTTGAATTTTAGTACAAACTTCGGACGCTAGGAGCAGCATTAAACTGCCATTTGACAAACATTACATGTGATACATGATTCAAAACAAAAAATACTTGCTGCGTATATAACTAGTAAACAACCGAGTAAACGCAATGATTTAAAATGTTAATTTAGAATTGCAGCAATATTTAGTCCCAAATGTCACTCACAATCGCCTTCGTATAGCAATTCGCTGCGTCCTCGTACTTGTGCAGGTCGAAGAGACGATTCCCCTGTTCCTTCAGCTCCTTGTCGGACAGATTCGCCGTCGAATACATCTTACTCATGATGGCGGCTGATGATCACGTCGCACTGCATGCACGATCGAATCAATTATTCGTGACGAAAGTTGTCAAAATGATCGAGAAACCGAGTGCGACAGCCTCTGTCTAACCTCTAAACGAACGCTTCCAAATTTTCCACATACTTCATCTTTGTTTCAACAGTCATCGACTTTGATCGACTCGACGCGAGTCTAGACGGGAATGCTCGCTGTTACAGCGCCATCTGGTGGAAGATCGACGAACCATGGTTGCGAATTTTAGAACATACACGTACCTTTCTACGTGTAATTTTATACACTTTGCTACAGATCTTTGCGCGCGAAACATCGTCAAGTAATACCTCGGCAAACGCAAGGTGCAAGATATTAATTCATAGGGTTTATTTATTGTGTTTGTAGAGTGTGCGTGAATTTTGGCGAAGTAGGCGATACCTGAGTGAGTAAATAAATATTTTACTGCATATGATTGCTGCATATATTGCGCGATCATTTATTTCTCATGCATTATTGCGAGATTGAAAAAAAGTTTATATTATATATTCACTTAACCGCAAATTTTTCGAGAAAAATAAAAAATCTTACATCCTTGTTATACATATGCATAAATTGTTGTAGATTGTTTATTTAATCATTCTATACATGAATTTTGGCGAAACAGATGTCTGGTGAGTAAATAAATATTTTACTACATTTGATTGCTACATATTGCGTGATCATTTATTTCTCATGCGTTAAATGAAACCGAAAAGTTTATATATTCATTTGTACTTGATCAAATATTTCGAGGGAAATAAAAACTTAATACCTCGCGGTTTTTTTTCATCGAGTCATCAACTTCGATCGATTCAACGCGTTTTTTTGTATTAAAAAAAAATTTTATTCCGTCAAAAAGAATAAAACATTGGAACGGGAATATAGTTTCAGCGCCATCTCGAGAAAGATTGACAAACTTGGATGCACATAAATTTAGAAACAGGTGCTTTAGATCTTTTGCGCGCGAAACGTCGTCAAGTAATATCTCGGCAAGCGCACGGTGCAAGACATTAATTCATAGTATTTATTTATTGTGTTTATACATTGTGCATGAATTTTGGCAAAATAGGCGATGCCTGGTAAGTAAGGAAATGTTTTACCGCGTATAATTATTGCGTGAGCATTTATTTTCACGCGTTATGTGAGACTGAAAAGTTCATATTATATTCACTTAACCGCAAATTTTTCGAGGGAAATAAAAAACCTTATATCCTTGTTATATATATGCAAATCATTATAGATTGATTACTTAATCATTGCGCATGAATTTTGGCGAAATAATTGTTTGTTGTAAATAAATATTTTACTGCATATGAGATTGCTGCATATATTGCGCGATCATTTATTTCTCATGCATTATATGAGGTTGAAAAGTTTATTTATACTTGATCAAAAATATTTCGAGGGAAATAAAAAATCCGATATCCTTGTTATATATATTGTTTCGAGTCATCAACTTCAATCAATTCGACGAGTTTATTTTTTTTTTAATTCGGTCAAAAAGAGTAAGGCATTAGGAGACGGTAAAGCAATTTCAACGCCATCTGGAGAAAGATTGACAAACCCGGATGCACAATTTATCAACACAGTTGCCGAAACTTTTTTACCACACATTCTAATTCGAAATTAGTACATACCTTTCTAAGTGTAATTTCATACACTTTGGTTCAGATCTTTTGCGCGCGAAACATCGTCAAGTAATATTTCGGCAGACGCAAGGTACAAGACATTCATACATAGTATTTATTTATTGTGTTTATACATTGTGCATGAATTTTGGCAAAATAGGCGATGCCTGCGGTGAGTAAGGAAATATTTTACCACGTACAATTATTGCGCGAGCATTTATTTTTCACGCATCATGTGAGATTGAAAAGTTCATATCATATTCACTTAACCGCAAATATTTCGAGGGAAATAAAAAAACCTGATATTCTTGTTGTACATATGCAAATCGTTAGAGATTGATTGCTTAATTATTGTTCAAGAATTTTGGCGAAACAGATGTCTGGTGAGTAAATAAATATTTTACTGCATATGATTGCTGCATATATTGCGCGATCATTTATTTCTCATGCATTTTTGCGAGATTGAAAAGTTCATATCATATTCACTTAATTGCAAATATTTTGAGGGAAATAACAAATCTGGTATTTTTATTATACATATGCAAACCGTTATAGATTGATTACTTAATCATTGTGCATGAATTTTGACGAAATATATATGTCTGGTGAGTAAATATAATATATTACTGCATACATACATTCATAATTATTTATTCACCAGACTGCATATATATATATATATATATATATATATATATAATATTATACATTTATATACTTAACCAAATATTTCAAGAGAAATAACTTGATATTCTTGTTATATATATATATATATATATATATATATATATATATATATCAATAGTTAATATATTACTTAATCATTATGCATGAATTTTGGCGAAACAAATGTCTGGTGAGTAAATAAATATATTATTGCACGTGATTGCTGCATATATTGCGCGATCATTTACATATTTGTCACGAATTATGTGAGATTGAAAAGTTTATATATTCATACTTGATCAAATATTTCGAGGAAAATAAAAAACCTGATATCCTCGTTATACATTAAAAAAAATTTGTTAACTTGACTAAACCTTTCAACTTAATATTATTTTGTTAACTGAGCATATATATATATATATACACACACACACATAATTATTTAAATTAAATTTAATATATTGATATTAACAAAACATACATTTGACTTAAATACTAATATATATTCAATTAACAAAAAAGCAATTTAGTTGAAAGGTTTAGTCAAGTTAACAAATTTTTTTTCAGTGTACATGTGCAAATCGTTATAGATTACTCAATCATTGTTTATGAATTTTGACAAAATAGATGTCTGGTGAGTAAATATAAATATTTTATTGCATATGATTACTGCCTTTATTATGCGATCATTTATTTATCACACATTATATGAAACATTACTGAAAAATTTATATATTCATACTTAACCAAATATTTCGAGGGAAGTAAAAATAAAAAACCTGATACCCTTGTTATATATTTATGCAAATCGTTATAGATCACTTAATCATTATATGAAATGAAATAAATTTTGATGAAATATATCTCTGGTGAGTAAATATAAATATATTTTATTGCATATTATTGCTTTATATATTGCGCAATTATTTATTAATCATGTATTATGTGTGAGACTGAAAAGTTTGTTTATTTATACAATCAAATATTTCGAGAGAAATGAAAAATCGATATTGTTGCTATACATATGCAAATCATTATATATTACTTAAACGATTATTTAATCATTTATCAATTGTTATATACATTTATAAAAGAATGTTTATTTTACATAACTATCGTAAAAAATGTTAGGTCTGAATAATTTCAGAGAGATGTGAATTAAAGACGTTGCTATCTCTTTTCTTCCTTTTAGTTGAGGTAAACTCTTTCAGATTTATAAATCCGCGTATTAAAATAACAAGAGCGCGTTTATTCGGCGTTCGATATCGCGTCGGCGTAATTTGTCAGCCTTTCAGTCTGATAACAATATGGATTCGATATCTACATAGTATTAAGTAGAGACCCATAAGGCTCGAAACTTCGAGAAGGAAGGAAGAGATTGTGACCCAGTTAAATTCGTTCAAGACTTCAATTCCGTATTCTTCTCCATACGGGAATAGAAGTTCTCGTCGCCACGGCTTCGTGATGACAAATTGGAATTAGAAGTAATCGTGTTAGTTGTTAACGAAACTCGCGAGTTAATCGAATCTATCTGACTGAATCTTCGACCGATCGACCGGGGTCTCTTCCCCTGGAATTTAGCGGGTGCAAGCGCGATCGGGGGAACCGGAGAGAAACGGCCAAGATTTATTAGACATTTGAATTAGTTCGCGCGCTATTAATCCCGGATTGTACGACGATGCCTCGTCCATCGGTCTAGACCTGGGTCTGGTCGTCATCAGAACTAACCATTGAACTACACCACGCCATTAACGTCAGGGTTCTCGTCTGGAGGCTATTAAGCGTGTCCATTTAGATTACAGCGGATTACAATGTGAATCTGTAGGTCTTCATCGATGTTAGGGCAGTGGCTTTGAATTTTCGCAAATTTATTCATGATTCTGTTTAGGAAAAGCGGATTTCAAAATGTATAAAAAAATATACTTGATTTCATGAATCTAAGAGATACTTTATATCACGAGAAAAAATTAGCTACTACATCTAAATTTTAGCTGTTCCTATATTGCAATCTAAATTTTAGTTATCATGTTTAAATTTTAGTTATAATAACTAATATTTTTAGTTACAGTTTAACGGAGAATACTATAGCTGAAAAATAGTAGCTATGTATATCACAGCTAAAATTTAGGCATGCATGATAACTAAGTTTCATATTTAATATAGAGACAGCTAAAATTGAGCTATAATAGTTAATATTTTTCCGTATATAGTATTACAGTATCAAGAATAGTATTGAAGTAATTCTGCTTTTTATATATTATAGTATAATAAAGTACGATATTTCAACATATAAAGATTAGATACCGGTGAATTTAATACCTCTTTTAATCTTGATATTTATAATACATTTTTCTCTCCCTCGTGTATTTATATTTTAAATATTAATATTTCATGTATATTTATACATTTAAGGGAGTACATACCTTCGTCGCGCAAAAAATGTTCTATTTTCAGTATTTCTTTTTTGCAGTAAATAACGTAATAATCAAGTCTTTTTTTATTTTAATCATTATGGAAAAAAATTAACTATTATAATTAAATTTAAGCTGCCCTTGTATTGTAACTTAAAATTTAATTATTATGCTTAAATTTTAGCCATAATAACTAATATTTTTTAGCTATAGTTTAACAGAAAATTTTATAGCTAAAAATATTATCTATTACAGCTAAAATTTAGGCATAATAGCTAAATTTTATATGAAATATAGAGACAACTAAAATTTAGCTATAGTGGTTAATTTTTTCCGTATTTATTTGAGTACATGTATATTTTAAAAATTAAGTTTCATAAAAACTAAAAATTAAGCTTCGTAAAAACGTACAACTTGTCATAAAAGTTGTATTTTTATGACAAGTTGTGTGCA